ACCTAGGGGTAGCCGCGAGCATTTTTCATAACTCCTCCGTGCCAACTTGAGGTTCCCTTGTAAGTTATTCCCATGTCCATACAGGGGATGCATAGATAGTAGTAAAAAGCGCGTGAATATCCGAAAATCAGAAAAAACTGCCAATTGGGCCAAAAAGGCTTCCTGCTTTTATTAGTTCTTTAAATTCAAGTCAAACTCCATTATGCAAATATAACAGCAAGATTTCTGAAACCGAAAACCAAGGGCTGCGTATTACACGATTTCCGGCGGAATTCTCCCCAGCTTTTGTTTGGTCATAGATAGTTTCCAGATACGCAGATTATAAGAAAAACCTATAGGCGATAATTTATTATTATAATTATTATGGCTTTTTGTTTTCGTAGCTGTCTCGTAACCCTTTCTATTCCCGTCCTTTTTATGATATAGTAGAGCCCACTGACCCGGGACAAGTTCAATGCGACCCATTTTTGCACCAAGGCAAAAAATTGCACTAATGAATTTATTATGATTTGAAAATAATTGCTTTCAAAGTTACCCAAAAGGGCGGGAAACTAAAGTAAAATATCTACACACGCCGACCTACGATTTTCGTGTTTTCGCCCCCACCAAGAGTCGCCCCCTTCTTTACCTTGACAAAGTTCTTCGCGGACCAGCTGAAATTTATGGTTTATGAATTTTATGAAATAAATGAATTAATGAAATAAGCATAGATTTAAGCAATTTTTGCAACGCAAAATTACCCCAAACCCAAACGAAATTTGGGACTCGCAGCCGGAAGGTAGATGCAAATCGATGCAAAGTCCAAGAAGAGCGGAAAAACTGTTGAGAATTGCGGGAAAAACAGTAACGTTTTCGTTAACACTTTAGAACCGCTGTAGGCATGCGGTTATGACTCTTCGCTGGGGGGGGGGGGGGTAAATGGCACTTCAGCCCCGGTCCCATGATTTTGGGGTAAAGTCACCTACCCCGAAAAGCACAGTACCCCGAAAAGTCACTACCCCGAATTAATTTGCAAATTGAATCCGAATGAAAACTGGATTTTTTCCTGAAAAACGATGCTATGATTTTTCGGGGTAAACGATTTCGGGTGTGACTTTTCGGGGTATAACTTCGGACGCCCCCATGATTGTATCGGGCACTAACTAACAACAATCTTACTTATAACTCCCCAACACACGGTTATACGGCAAAATTCCATTAGACCAGCGGGGCAGGAGCCCCGCTGAATGGATGGCTGGTGAATCGGCGTATTTCCAAATCAGGCTACCCAGATGACGTCATTCTTTAAGCTCTTTGTACCAAATAATACACCCTTTTGACCAAAATACACGAAAATCTATCTATCTATCTAGCTATCTATCGCTATCGAATGGTGTGGCAAAAATCCGGAGAAAACAGCGAAAATATTGAAAAAATGGATTTAATCCTCCCTCCTCCCGTCTAAAAATCCCCTCACCGCCTTACCGACAATTAGAGCAACTGTTATTTTAGGCTGTTACTCGTTGCGAAAGAAGCTATCGTTGTGCCCAGCTGCATCTCGAATATGAAGACGGAAAAGTGTTGCATGTGAAGGGATGTCGATTATCCTATGGCACAATGGCAGGACGGCGCCTACAACTTTACCGACGAGAAAGGAGGTATTTTCGCTGGCTAAATAGGCGTTGGCGGGTAAGCAAATCCAAAAAAAAAATAATTTAGCGGTTGGCTGGTTCTACGGCTGCAATTCGACCGACTTTTGCAACCATGAGGGGGTGAAATGGCTCAAGGCCGAGGTCAAGAAGGCTGAACATCTGAAGGCCGAAGAAGCCGAGAAGCAGCGCAAAGCGGAAGAAGCCGAAAAGCAAAAGAATTCTTACCCGAATACCCTCGCCTTCCCCATCACCGCATTCCTTATGGTCATTCACTTCCGACTTTTCATGTAAATTCAACTACCGATAAAACCTTGGTGTTTCTCCCATGGATGGTTTTGTGCAGGGTTGGTCATTTTGGTACCCGGATACTACCCTACCCGTACCCGTACCCACGAAATTAGCATACGGCGGGTAGGTACGGGTACTACCCGTACCCGTACCCCGACATTTGCATAAGTTCTGCGGGTACGGGTTCATACCCGGGTACGGGTACGGGTATGTACCCTGGTACCCTGGGGTATTTCCGGTTTTCGATGCAAAGCTGGATTTTGGATGCAAAATAACGAATTCTCAGTTAGCTATCATATCCCAGCCGTGATTTGCATTTAGAACCGATAATAGGACCCAGGTTTGCATCCAAAATTCAGCTTGGCATCGAAAACCGAAAATACCCTGGGTACCAGGGTACCCGTACCGGATATGTACCCGTACCCGCAGAACTTATGCAAATGTCGGGGTACGGTACGGGTAGTACCCCGGTGGTACCCGTACCTACCCGCCGTATGCTAATTTCGAGGGTGCGGGTACGGGTACAACCCGGGGTACCGAAAACGGGTACGGGTATGGGGTACGGGTATTCAAATGACCAACCCTGGTTTTGTGTCCGCCACAACTGGCCTACCGCAATCCGATCAGAAAACCCCAGGTTGGCACGGTGGAATCTCGAAAAACGCTCGCGGCTACCCCGGGTACGGTAGCGTGCAAAAAAAAAATGGTCCCAAGCCGCGAAAAAGCCGTTTAGTAGCTTCAATATCGAATTTTAAAAAAACACATACGCTCCAATCAGCTACTACTTTTCCCCCGGATTTAGCCTGCGGCACGAGAGTCTGGGGCAAGAAACCATCCATGGCCTGCCGCGCCAGAGCCAACGTTGCTCAAGAATCTTTGAGCCTAGTTACTGCTTTTTCTCCGGGATTTGGCCTGCGGCGCGAGAGCCCGGGCCAAGGACCTTTCCTTTGGCCTGCAGCGCTAGAGTGAGGGCCAGGCCTAAATCTCGCATACGGAGAGCCAAGCAATATGTTTGTTTGATGAATTACCAAAATGCAAAAAGTTGTCATAGCGGCGGATCCGAACCCTTGATCCCTAGCACCGTGGGCGTGATGCGAATCCATCACGCCACAGGAATGCGATGCGGGACAGGCCTCTTCCTACCCTTGGGGACCTGCCCGGGCGCCGTCGAGTCACTTTACAAAAGTAGATTTTTGAGGTGGAAGATGATCGAATTTGTAAAATCTAATAAGATGCACCTAAGAAGCACCATCGATTACATAAGTGGTCCAAGTTTAGCCCGAAATTCCATTTGCGCTTCGAGTGATGCCCCGGACACCACGGCTATACCCCCATTTTGTTAAGGAGTTTTTAGAAAAATGCGCATAAAAACTTTATTTTACGAAATGTGACAAAACGCAGAATTATACAGGGTGTCCCAAAAAAGACCCCCCAAAAATTTGAGCCAGATGGGACCTACGGAGCTGAAAATTTGCACAGAGGTAGCGAAGCCAATTTTCTATGAACAAGGAAGGTTACAGCCCGATCGGCCGACGGGTTTTAGAGTTATAGCGAAAATACTTTTCATTTTTAATTTAATACCAGGGTTGAAAAGTCGCGAAGCGTCTAACCGCTTGCCGGTCAGAATCTCGAATTACAAAATCTCGAATGACAAAATCTCGAATGACAAAATCTCGAATGATTAGAATCTCGAATGAACAAAACTTCGATCCAGCAGAACACAGTTTGGATAAAAATTTCCACTAACGGCCTAGTAATTGAACCCAAAGTTTTTCTATAGAGGCTTTGGTAATCAATAGCGGTAGCAACACTATCTAAAAGTTAAAGACAACGAATTTGAGCTCTTTGCGTCGAAAGAACAAATTTTTAGACTTAACGCTAATGTTCTACATTATCATTTGTAATGGATGATGCTCAAAAAGGACCATCCCTCGGCAGGGGCTACTCACAGCCTACTAGCTTCTATCTAAGACAAAAAATCTATGCTGGATCGAACTAGACGAAACTAGATTAGGATAGCAGTGGGTATCCTGGCAGTCGAGATTTGTTCATTCGAGATTTTGACCATTCGAGATTTTGTCATTCGAGATTCTGTCATTCGAGATTTTGTAAATTCGAGATTCTGATCGTTCGAGATTCTAATCATTCGAGATTTTGTCATTCGACATTCTGTTCATTCGAGATTCTAATCATTCGAGATTTTGTCATTCGAGATTCTGTCATTCGAGATTTTGTCATTCGAAATTCTGTTCATTCGAGATTCTAATCATTCGAGATTTTGTCATTCGAAATTCTGTTCATTCGAGATTCTAATCATTCGAGATTTTGTCATTCGAGATTCTGTCATTCGAGATTTTGTAATTCGAGATTCTGACCGGCAAGCGGTTAGACGCTTCGCGACTTTTCAACCCTGGTATTAAATTAAAAATGAAAAGTATTTTCGCTATAACTCTAAAACCCGTCGGCCGATCGGGCTGTAACTTTCCTTGTTCATAGAAAATTGGCTTCGCTACCTCTGTGCAAATTTTCAGCTCCGTAGGTCCCCTCTGGCTCAAATTCTTGGGGGGTCTTTTTTTTTGGGACACCCTGTATATTGGGAGAATAGTATTTCCCATCTACCCTCCAAAAATTAGCGCCCAATTCGGGCTGGCAATCGAGATATCCTCTGAACAAACCTTTTTTCGGCCGAGATGTTAAGGATTTTTCACTATTTTGCTTGTAAAATCGTTAAATGAAGGATTTAGAAAAACAAAAGATTTCTTCGCTGACAAATGTGTTTCTCCACCTCCATGCCAAAAATCAGCTCAAAAGTCGGACTGACGGCCGAGAAATCGATCGGCTTGGCTTTTGGTTTGGCTAGAAGCCCGATGGTAAGACTCATGGACGGGTAAGAGTATTTGTTGAATGCCCATGGTTCACCCCTCCCCTGCACACGCCCACCGTGTCCCAAACCATTGGGTCTCGTTGTAATTTGCATATTAGTAGCTCGAAAGTCATAAGTCTCTTTTTATTCGCGTTTATGGGAAGAGGGCGAGCAGAACCGGGCCCCAGTGCCATTGTTGAAAAAAATTCCACCGGTCATCGCCTCGGTACCGCCAAGTTTGACCGGCTTTTCAGTGCCTGAAAAGTCTTATAGAGTGCCGATCAATTAATCAGGAAATACGGCATGGTGTTACTTTAAAAGCAACTCCGTCCCTAGGGGTTTCCAACTGCGCTCCTGCAGTTTCGGACATCCATTCCGTGGCAAGGGAGATTCGCTTCCGAGAAAACATCGACCCCAAGTAAAATTCATAGAACTGTGCTAAGAAAGGAACTCTCCGACCATAATGAGTAGTAACTAGCCTACTTTCGAAATTTGATCAATTGAAGCGTATGCTAAAATTCTAACTTGATTTTCTTTGTCTATTCTGGAGGCAGAAACGTTCCAGCTTTTCACTTTTGGGGTGTTCGCGTCATGCCTTACCCGTCACTTACAGAAATTTCCCCGGGGACTGAACGGATCCCTTTTTAGCTTCTCCGGTAATTGCCCCATGCCTACCCGGTTCCAAAGCAACTGCCTCGAACTCGTTCGGCAGTGTTCCGTTTACTTTCACTGCGATCCAGTGTTTGACGTAATCGTTGGTGAGGGAAAAGCCAGCTCGCTGGCTCGTGTAAACATCCAGGTAATTTTTGGCTGCTTCGACCGGAATATTGCGTCAAATCCTGCAAAACTATTGGTATACCAGCGCCCAAAACCCGCTTCGCGGGCCGGGCGCTGGAATCAGCCTTGCATGAAAAGTTTGACTTTCTGATAGCTCGGGTCCTGCGGACCCCACCCCCAACCACACGCGCGAGTGCAACTGGCAAGAATGAGGAAATTTCTATTTTTCCACACTATGCAAAATCAGCCTGCCCGAACCCGCAAAAATGAATAAAACCGGCTTGAACTTTGTAAACTTGTATTTTATCGTAATTCTGAGAACGCCATCGGAAGAGGAGGGTCGATTCCCCCGGTTGACGGAGGTTGGGGCGTTTTGCCCACGGGAAGGTCCTCAAATCGGGCCTCAGGAAACTGCCATCCACACACACACACAGTTACACGCCAAGAATTATATAAGGTAGGATATGAAACAGGCAGGCCATCTTCCAAATTCCTTAAAATCATCTGAATATTTACTTTTGATTTTCTGCAGTATAACGTTTCCAAATCTAAGCAAAGGACCAAGGACCTGGTTAAAGTGCACGTTCAGGAAGGGGCCGTATACTCGTCCCAACCTATAGACTCTATGTACGTAGGGACCGCGCGCACGGCCTGCCCGTGCCGTGGCAGGTCATTCCCCTCCTTTCCGGCGTGAGGCGCCCTTTGACCCCTCGCCAGGTTGCACCTGTGGCTGACTGGTATGCGTCCGCGCCTCCCGAATGGGGGCCCAGGTTCGACCCCGGCCGCGGTAAAAGATGGTTGCTTTTTTCGCGAAAACGTCCCTGAACGTGCCCTAAAGTCAACCACTCCGAAGAACAACCAGCTATCGTTATTGTTTTGGTCTTGATGCTGGTAACTAGACCGGTTGCGAATTTGTTACTGGACTGTCATCGGAAATGAACAAGGAGGGGAAGTTACACAGTTGCTAGTAATAAAGAACTCCTGAACAATCTCAAGAATTTTTATTTTTGGATCACAAAGCGCAAACGCATGAAAACGAGACCCTAAAAAAGGTAAAAGTCTTCGAATTTTCAAACATGTTAAAATATTTTTTGCAGCTTCTAGCAATCAAAATCTGCCTTTCCCAAAAATATACTATATAGTATCAATAAGCAAAAAAACAAAAAATTTTTGCGTCTTCCCCGCTAAACCCCTCCACCCACTAACGGTCCAGTACCGCAGATTCAAAAAGCCAGAACCCGTTTTTCGTGGAAAAAAACAAGATTTTGCGACCCTGTGTGCAAATAACGTACTGCTCCAAGACCGGCATTTTCCGTGTGATGGAGATGGCCGCTTTGTAAAAGTCGGTATTTTCGGCGAGGCTTGGCGACCGGTCGGTGTACCGAATTGTCATGATTAGCGTGGTGTACGTGTTGTTCTGGCTATGAAGCATGTGGGAACCACATGTGGCTTATGGGCAGAAGTGTAGAGGTCTTGCTTGTCTGCTCTAACAGCAATGTAAGTTCGTTCCATCCTAAAATAAATTGCGCGATGGTGTTTGTGCCTTGGGATTTTGAGCCTAACTGGAAAATCCTGGGCAAATTTTGGAAGCTTTATCGAACAGCAGCTAAAAAAATGTTTAATGAGGAAAGTGTTTAAAAGTCACATCTACGTAGCCCTATGTCCATATTAACCGAACAGCGCCGATGTCAGAGAGGTCTAACCCTTGACAGTGTTTCCGAAAGACCACGAAAATGCCTGTTTTGGTTTTGTTATAAAATCGAAGTACGCCCTTCCACGAAATCGAACAAAAAAAACTTGTTCAGATATAATTTCTATCGAACAGTATTTGCTACAAGCTTTTTGCGCACGACATCAAAAAGGTGTTGTTTTTGCGCATGTTGTGTCACCGTATGCTGTACGAGAACTTGTAGCTAAAGAAATCTCGTGCTCAAAATCTAGAGCGCGTAGCGGATCAGGAATTAGTTTGCAAATTTGATACCCGTATGGTCCATGCTTGTGCATCTTCTTTTTCAATTCGATCAGGGGGCTCTCAATGGCAGCTTTCGATTTACGTCGGATGTCTGCTGGATCATGAGGTTCTCCATGTCTTGGAAGTCGTTCTAAGCAAACGGTTATACAGGGTGTCCCAAAAAAAACGACCCATCTGGCATTTCCCCGGGTTACATCCAATTGGTCCCAAGTTTGGGCCAAGGGTTGTATCAGACCTAAATAACAACAATCCTGACTTTTAGCCCCGTAGCTATCGTCGTTCTCGAGTTATAACGAAAATACTGTTTTTCCCGGGAATTCTGTTCAGTTTTTCCGGCTATCTTTTGGAATTTGCATCGGGGTGCATCGACTTCCGGCTGTGAATCCCTAATTTCGTTTAAGAACTTGGGTAGTTTTGCGTTATCAAATCGCTTAAATCGAGAAGCTTATTTAATTAATTTTACTCTGGAAAAATTTCTTAGGATAAAAAGGCCTACCGGGATCATTTACGCCTAATGTTTAGGGGGCCTATTTCCACGAAAACCCTATGAAAAATGGAAAAAAAAGTTTGTTTTCGTTATAACTCGAGGAACTACCATAGCTACAGGGCTATAAGTCACGGTGTTGTTATTTAGGGTCTGATACACCTCTGGTCCAAATTTGAGGCCGATTGGATGTAACCCGGCGGGAAATGCCAGATGGGTCGTTTTTTGGGACACCCTGTACACCCCATTTTTCAAAGAGTTGTTGTTATTAGTCACTTCAAGATTGTTGAGCGTTATGCTGGGCAATTTGGCGTAAGTTGCTTAGCACTCTCGTATTGACACGGCCAAAGTCGGTGATTATGCAAAAGACCGGACCCTCGGAAGGCAAGATAGGAAGATAGAGCGTACCTTACAAGAACCTTTCTTGGTCGGCTATTTTATCATTGGGCAGTCCGAGGTTGCTAACAAAATTGAACCGGAATTTCGAACCGCCTGCAAAGGGCCACGAAAAGTCACCAAGTTTGTAATCGGCCAAGGTCGTTTTTCGGATGGTGTGTGAAAGGCGCTGATAAATCTTCGGCGTAAGATTGTTTCCATATGAGCAGCATAAAAGGAAAGTTTCTAGCCATATCTCAAAAACAGGGACACTTACCATGCCCTTCTGCACGATTTCTGCGACTGAAGCCACCGTGTCCGCCATGCGTTTTTCCAAAGCCTCGAACCGCTCCGCTTGAGATTTTAGTTTCGGCATTAGGAGCGGGTAACAGGTAGTGGCCAGTTCCATCTGAAAGTCTTGTTTATTGCAATCAGTTGTTTTACGGGGGTGATGTGCGGGAAAACCGTGTCGACAAAAAGGTTTACTTGCACCAAAAAATAATTTAGCACCTGGGCGTGGCAAAGTATTGCCGAAGGATAAATTTTGCGTATTGCACACAACTTACTATCTGGACGGTATTGGCGTTGACCAATTTCATGTAGTTAGTCACCTCTTCTTGCGAAAGGCGTGACGTTGCCATCACCACTTGCGGCATGCAGCTAATTTTTTTAATGTTGTATTTTGGGGTCGGTGTCCAATTGAAATCGGACCGGGTTGCAAGGCCGTTACCGGCTTTCACCTCTAGCCTCGTCGGGAACCGTTGATACGCGGGCACTTCGAATATTGTAATTTTCAACGATACTCCGAATTACGCTAGGATCTCAACACGACAGGAATTACGTGAGCTACCGATTCCGACCGCCGCAAAGTATTAATCAAAGAATAGCCGTATGCATGTATGTGTATTTACATGTGTTTTAAAAACGTTAAAATGAAATTCAAAACGCCGTTTCATTAAAAAATTGATAAGCGTGCAGTAATCTACGCTCTCGATTACCCCCAACTACCTTACTTCCGGGCCATAAAATGCCTTCCCCCTTCCCAAGACTGAGCAAATGTTAAAAAATCCTGGCCAGTAAAATTCTGGTAATACGACCTGAGCTCTAAGGGGCGAGGTAGTCCAAATACCTGAACAGGGGCGTCGATGTCGGATCTCTCTTGATTCGAGCATTGGTGTGATTGAGAATGCCGGCGAACAGCTGTTTGCCAGGCGGCAACCCATCTAAAATCCGTGTTCCAAAACAGGTCATCGCCCAGCTCTGTGCGTGTTTTCAATAATTGTGAAAATATATAAAAAAAATAGTGTTTGTGTGTGTGTGTGCCACTTTGCATCCACTTCCGTCTGTCTGCCCGGAGGATATCTCAAGAAGGGACGGGTATTAGGCTACGTATGATACGTCATTAGGTGCGTAATGGTCTAGGGATGACTGCACACATATCAGATTTAACAAAATTAGCCATTTTCGCTATTAAATTTAGGTTTTTGTAAAAACCTCTTTGTTAGGTATAATTAGCATAGACCGGAAGTGGGCGGTCGCCTATATAAAGAGGCAGAAGGGATTGTTTTTCATTTTTTTTGTCTTCTGGATGAAGGACAAGTATGCAAAGGGCAGAATAGTATGGGGTCCGAGACGGGGCCAGGGTTGAAAAGTCTTGCTTCTTCGTCGTACTCTGAGAGCTCAAGTTCTTGAAAAGTCGCGAAGCGGCCAACCCTGGTTGTGAAATAAAAACACGCCTTATCACTTTGGTCAATCCATGCACCATTAAAGGTTTTCAATTATCTCTCGGAGGGCTCCTTTATTAGCTTACAGTAAAGGGTTTTTGCGTCAGAGTGGAAATTGGGTTTGAGACCATGCCTAACTTGTGCAGAATTTTTCGCTGATTCCGAGCCTTAATCCAGAAACTGCAGAATGGTTTTGTTTAAAAATTGTGGAGCTTTTAACTTTCTTCTTCGCCGAAAGCTTGGAACTGAAGCTCGATTATTGTGATTATTGTGAGCGTCCGGCTGATTGCCCGAAATGCATATTGCCATCGTTTCCTCAAATTTTTTCTCTATCAAATGAGGTTTTTGAAATTAAACTTGACTTTACTTTTAAATCGCGGCATCAAGGCAAGTGACTTCCGGGGAGGATTTTACGCTAAGAAAACCCTTCGTTTTCAGAATCTGCGAAACGACCATATTTGAAGGTTACGAGGCTTTAAAAGGCCGTTTACGGGTGGACCGAAATAGGCTTGGCACGTTTTCGACCCTGTTTTTGACGGCATCGGCTAGACTTAGTCGGGATAGTAGGGCTGCTAGTTTGGAAGTTTAAAGTTAATTTTGAGTAAGTTTAAATGGGCCACTGGGTTGCCCCCGAAAAACTATCTCGAAAGCTACTGCACCGAACTTTGCTGAAAAATTGTGACAATACCTAATTGGGGGATGGCGATCATTTCTCTGTTACTCGCAAAGCGCTAAAATAACCGCAACATGGCTAAATCGAAAAGTAAAACCAGTTTTTCGAGATTTTCGAATTTTTAGTATTTCGAGCGCAACTTGAAACTAGCATAGAAAGATGCGCGAGATTTTCTGCATCTGATTGGGTATATCGGTTTAGCTTCGCGCTAGGAATACTAATATTGAAAAAAATCGCGATTTGTAGGCGAAAAACGCGGAAAAATGTCCCGATAAAAATACAAATTTGTTCCCAGCAATTTTGTTAATCTGAGGTATCAAAACGCATCTAGAAGCCAAGCCGAAAGCGATTCGCAAAAAAGAGCAAAAAAGAAATTCGGCTTCTAAGAGGGGGCCGGGATTGAACTAGCGGCGGCTCTGGATTGGTACGCGGACGCTCTACTCATTGCGCCACAGGGCTCCCAGGCGGAGGGTCCGGGTTCGATTCCGCGATTTCGAAAGAAAGGAAATTTCTTTTTGCTCTTTTGCAATCGCTTCGGCTTGGCTTCTAGATGCGTTTTGATACCTCAGATTAACAAAATTAACAAATTTGTATTTTTATGGGACATTTTTTCCGCGTTTTTCGCCTACAAATCGCGATTTTTTTCAATGTTAGTATTCCTAGCGCAAGCTAAACGATACACCAATCGATTCAGAAAAATTTCGCGCATCTTTCTATGCTAGTTTCAAGTTGCGCTCGGAATACTAAAAATTCGAAAATCTCGAAAAACTGGTTTTACTTTTCGATTTAGCCATGTTGCGGTTATTTTAGCGCTTTGCGATGCATTAGAGAAATGATCGCCATCCCAAATTAGGTATTGTCACAATTTTTCAGCAACTTCGGTGCAGTAGCTTTCGAGATAGTTTTTCGGGGTTGGCAACTTTGAGGCCCATTTAAACACTCAAAATTAACTTTTTAAACTTTCAAACTATGCAGCCCTACTAATTCGACTATGCTCTATCCGATGCCGTCAAAAAACAGGGTCGAAAAAAACTGTGCCAAGCTATAATGGGGACTGTTCGAGTGACCCGCGGATGGCCTTTTAAATCTGAAAAGGCCCAAAATGGCCAAATCATTACGTTCTTATATACGTCGTTTCGCAGATTCTGAAAAAGAGGAAAAATGAAAACAGAACTGAAAGGAAAAACTGAAATTTTAAAAAGATCTATGCTATGTAAAGGGGAGCATTGAAAAAAACGGCTCAGAATTCAGAAATTATGTTTTGACGGAGAGCTTGAACAAAAACGGTTTTGTACGATACCTGTGAGAATGCAAATACCGTCACCTCGACTGTCTTATTTTTCGGGGCTTTAGATTATATGGTTTGCATTCCCAAGATTGTCTCAAAACTGGTTATTGGCTGGTGCACCGAAATGGACAAACCCCGCGAGGCATTTGCCGATCGAAGCTCTCGTTCAACCGTCTTTTCCATCTGGTCCAGATACTTTAGCGCTTCTGGCTGGTTGATGAGATATAGGTTGTTGGCCAGCTCTAAATTTTGCAATAGGTGCTGTGCGCATCGAATCCAGTCGGTTACCATGCTTTTCGTCCGGTTTCATTTCCACTTGGCCGAATATCTTCAATAATCTTCGCGTGACATCTCCGGTCGAGGTTGCACAGTTGACCGTGTTCTTGTAACGGAAGATCTGGAAGTGCTTGCCAACCAAAATCCGAACAAACAACAATAAAAACTGAACATCGTTATTCGGAGTTTAGGATGGGAGATGGGAGTTAAAAAAAATTGCTTTTAAAGGTACACTAAAAATCTCGTTCAAAAAGTTCGGTCGCGGTAGGAAGTTTGGGCTCTCTGCCTCAGCCAACCCAGCCCCTTCTTATGGCCTCTCCCCCACCCCCTTCCCGTCTCTGCCTTGGCCTAGTGGTCCAAGGCGCTGCCCCAAGCTGGCAGTCAGGGTTCGGTTTTGCTCGCGACGAGCGCCTACCGTAATCTTGTTTGCTATCCCGCAGACGGTTACCGGCCGGTAACCAATCCAACGAGACTTTAGTGTACCTTTAAGGTTCCCGCCAACATCATGCAGAAATTTCGTCAATTTGGCGCTTTAATAGCGGCTTACGCTAATTATTGCTCCCGATTTTGAGAGAAAATAAGGTGCCGACCTGGTTTCACCTAGCAAATTTTCTTACAACTCTTTCATTTCCTTGTTAGCCAGATAGCGCCCGAAAAAAATTCATTAACTAACAATTCATATAACGGGACAACGAAGTAAAATCCCGTGTGCTCGGGTGTCGTACTCACGAGTCAAAAAATTGAAGGGGCACCCCTAGTAACAGAAAATTTTTCGTTGCTAAAACGCAAAATAACAGTTGTGGGCGCCAAATCGCTGTTTTGGAAATGGCGTAAAGCCCTGTACAGTGCCTATTTCCAGAGATGGGTATTTTGGAGGAAATGTTCTAATATCTAAAAAAAACATTCCACGGGCATTTCTTGAATCGATTTTTGAATTTTTCAACCCACGTCTTCGATTTTGTCCAGCTTTTGGCACAGCCTCTCTCCATGTTCCTGTATCGGGCGCGTTGCTCCGCAATTTTAAACGTCAATGGTGGCAACGAGTAATTGTTGCAGCATCGCGGTTAGCTCACTGCTCACCTTGCCAAAATGCTAAAGCTTAGTTCACCCGAAAAAAATCTTGGCAAAGGACAGTGGGTAAAATGGTCTTTCCTTATATTTTCAATTTTTTCGAGCTTAAATAGCGGCATAGTGTCATATCGGGTCTTGGAGTTTTTCGACCAGGCCCTTCAGGACCTGAAACGTCTGGTAAGGCAGGGCGCCATAAGAAAAGAGTTCAAGCCCATCCCAAAACACTGAAAAAAAAATAGTGGTGGACTTACACTACGATAGTCCATGTTTTTGATGGTAGCCTTGATCGCCTGAGCGGCGTTATCCACCGCAGCGCCGAGGAATACGGCCTCCTTTCAAAAACTAGACAGTGAATCGTAGGCCTTCTTGATTTCCGCTTCCAGCTGGGGATTCTCAACGACCACGACCTCTTCCGGACCATCCTGAAATACATTATGATTACAATTTGATTAAAAGCCAGCACAATGAACCGACAAGGGAGACGTTTTTAACTGAACGTCGACTTCCGTGTCTTGGAGCCCGTCTTGTGCAGAATTTTGCACGGTTTACTAATCGGGCTTCAAACGTTCCAAAATGATCAGATACAAAAAGTTTTAAAAAGTTTTAACGGCGATGAAGGCCTAAATTTTGCTCTTTTTGCCATGACAAGCTTCATAGCTTTTTGAATCTGGTCGTTTTACAGTTTTTGAGTTTTGGAATTCGCGCAAAATTCTACACAAGATAGGCTTGGTCCTGTGCGGAAACCTGATTGTCACCAAAGACGGCCGGTAAAAAGACCATGTCTTGCAATTTGGCGGTTTGTATCAAACATATCTCTATTTGGTCTGCTTTAAATCGCGCACCTGTGACATGGGTAGAAGTTTCGGCGCAAGGATCTGGGCAACGGGGTCATGAGTTTGGCGATCCCTCCAAGGGCGTCCTTGAAGACGTCGAACTTTTCGAATGCAGTTCCGATCGTGTCCAGTACAGGGGCTGCTAACTTCTTGGCATGATTCATCAGAGGCTTCACGGCGTTGGTGAAAAATCTTAATAAAGCAAAGAGTAGAAACATTGATCGGGAACCTTGGCGGCTTGCTACAATCTTGCTGTCACTTACTCGGAATCAGCATTGATGTAGCAAACCAAAATGTTGACCGAACTAAGTAATTTCTTAGAAAAACGGGTTTTTGTTCGGAAAATGCACGAGGGCCTTTCCCTTCCTTATCAAGCTAGCGACAAAAGTTCTAGCAGCGGTAAGGCCAAAATGCTACATGACCGTAGCTCAGCCATCTGTGGTCCAATTTCGCCCATATCTAGGGACATCTACGCTTGATGATCTATCGATTCGTGTTAAAGGTATCCTTTGCAACAGCTCTACGCAAAAATAAACTGCCCCCAAAAGCACTGGCTAGTTTTTTCTTGTGAAATATCCTTAGACCGTATCCCTGCCTTCGACGATTTCCGAGTCCCAGGTGGGTCCTTACCAGGTCGAAACCCCAAGACCACTTACATCATGTTTGGATTATGCAAGTTTAAATGTGTTTCCAGATTTCAAATCCTTGAGAAAACCTTTCTCTGCCCAGACAACAGAGGATAATTAGGTGGACCTATCGTTTTGACACGCACTGTACTTGCCTGGAACCAAATCGATCTTCAACTGGTCCCCCGAGCGTTGCAAGCTGACTCTCGGAAGTAGGAGGGACGAAGAGTGCCCGTCACCGGTCACGGTTTGTCCCGCCGTCTTGGCTCGAACCACCAAAGCGAACAGCAACATCCCACTGAGCAGAGCCCAGCGTTTCATCTCCATAGCTTTTGACAACAGTCCTGAAAATACAGGACTATTGTTTATGCCTTAAAAAGCATCGTAAAATAGAGTCAACAGGATAGCATTCGACAAAGCATATTTCTCAGCAACTGATCCAAAATTATGTATCGCCGCACGAAAAGTGGAAATAATAATTTCCATTTTAACTACAAAACAGTTCCTCAAAACCCCAAGGCAGTAAGGCCTAGGGTTGGTATTCTTAAAGGAATGGTGGAATCGAATGACTTCTCGGTGGAAGCTTGGCCTTTTATAGAGAGTAATGGCAAAATCAGCCTAAGAAATCCCGCCCCTTTTCTACGGTAGAAATATGGATATATATTGCTTTGGGAAGGCGATATTAGATATTTATGTTAATGAACGAGTCGGGCAGATATTGTTTTCACTTTTGCCGACCGCTACCAAAAGTAAAAAAAGGAATATTAATGAAAAGTGTTGAAAGAAATGGGCTGTGTTTAACGACAATAATAAGGGGAATTGTGCAAACATTAAAAATTGCCTTTGAACGAACGATAAGATCGCTTTCTTGCGTTAGCGGATCAATTTATAAAAGAAGAGATCACATATTAGGATATCAGGATCTGTCTATTCCAACAATACGTTTTTTTAAAACACATTCCATTAAAAGTTGGTTGCTCTGGTGCGTCTCCACAGTAGCACCATGTTGCAGGTATCACCATCTTCCCTGCCAGGCAGACTTTGTCCTTATACGGTAGGAAAGACAAACTTGCCTGAATAAGGGCCTGATTGTTCCTTCGTTCTCACCAGGTTCGATTTTCGGTAGACTGATGAAATTGTAGAATTCTCCATCAACTCCCCAAGGCGCCATACTTTTCGAATTACACAATTCTAATTGTTGTGAAGGTCTAGTAATTCTTCGTTCCCGACAGAGTTAAAGCTGTTGGAGCTGACAAAGCGTTTTTTAACCTCGAGAGTCCGGGTTTAAGATGTCAGCTAGGACTGTGATATTCAATTACGATACATTTTTGCTATGATCTTAGGAGTCAAATTCAAACATCCTCAGAGATTTTCACTATTAAAGATTTTTGACTTGTTCGGCGCCAATAGTTCAGCGGATATTTCACAATCAGTCCGTGAGCATCATTTTTTGTTTCGCAAGCGTTAAACCATTTTCTCGCTGCGATTTTATGCCAATAAACGAAAAATAATGCAATATCGCTGTCCGGTTTGACGAAGGGATTTTTGATTTCGATCCCGAGATCGGTCAATTTGAATTTTTCAATGCACATCTTGAAAGGTGGGCGTTGCGGTAGTTTAAGATCTAGCTTCGAATAAGAACGCAGATGTGATAAGGGGTTCTTATTTCCTAGTAACGGCTAACGCACCTAGACGACCACAACAACATGCGAATGCTGACAATAAATAATTTTCTAAAAGGATAGGCATGATGGGATCGTGACTCCCCTACCCATGATTTTTCCGAAGCTCTGTTTATCGATCTAAACTCTTCATGGAGGTTAAATAATCACAAAAAAGTTTGTCTAGGCCCTGAGAATGCAAAAAGCAAATTTAGAGCCAAAAAGCAAAAAATAAAAATCGTGAGCGGGCCCAACCTTCGTTAGATTCCTGAGACGCCGGAGACCACGCCACTCGGCCACCTGACCACGGTGGACGGGGCGCAGGAGAGGCTTATGAAGGTCGGGCAAAAATTGAGGGGTGTATTACAGTATCCGCAGGTAAAAGTTCATTCAATCGATTCGTCTCGTTAGGCTCTACAAAATGAGCAAATTTGCAACAAAAATTCGATGTCGATTGGAGGAGGCTACGTTTTGAGCGAGAAAGGGTTTTGGAGTCGCAAATTGCGCAACATTTGAAAAATTCCAGGAGTCCATGTAACGCTGAAATTTCGGCTTGCGACTTCCCCTTTAAGTTGCGCCACAAATGTCTGTACTGAAAGCTGCAGCGCCAAGGTGCGCTTGACGATTACACACACCAGCATGGCCCTCGGAATATTCGATGGTAGTGAGCGTGCCTGTATGAACGCATGCTACGGATAATATTTATTCGCCATCCCTTAACAGATTCCTCATTGTTACGGATCTTCCAAGGGCTAAACTGGGATCAATATGTCTACCTTCCTTAGGGCCACTCGGTATGAATTCAGGCGCCCATTAACGTTGTTTGGTTCGGGTTGTAGTTGGAAGCCTTGCTTTTTGGGCAGTACACCGAGTGTCCAAGGATTCTCTTCTTCCATTCCCCGTCTCCGGCCAGTATCGCTGTTGGCGTAACCCGTATTGGCGCCGTGCAGGATGGCACGCACAATCTCCTTCCTCCTGCCAATATTGCAAAGGAAGGGCATCGTAAACCTTCTCCCAGTCGAAAATTCCTCATTGGAGACCTATAGAATCAGCTCCTTCTTCCTGGGTTTTTGTAAATCGACGCCACAGATCGATTTTACCTCTTCTCAATTTCGGGCTGCTTTGGATCGATTTTACCTTGCTTTGGACTAGGTTCCGCCATAAGTTGTGGATCCCCCTCATAAGCGCTTACCTAAGCGAAATTCAAACGCGTCGAAAGACTACCACCACATCGTTTTTGCGGGTCCATGGATGTACTACGATCGGCCTTCCACCAGATGCCACGGTGCCAGAACGTAAAGATTTCATTCCGCTCTTCTTTTACCCAGATTTTTCACGCATTTCTCTATGGACGGTTTTAAAAAACAAAACCAATCAATCTATTTCACCTTCAAAGTCTTTTGGCACCTTTGATAGACTATAAGCCCGATCGATTGTAGGTCGCTAAAAATAGTTGCCTTGAAATTGGCCGGACACACCTTCCATGGCTTTACCCCGGCGCCCAAGCTGATAATTCCGGTCAAAGGCGCTTGAATCGGGGTTACAACAATTGTAGGACGATTTTCGATACAAAACGAGTATCGGGATGTCAATGATAGCCAGAATCCTATACCGATCATGCGACTGGGAGAACACATTGCATATTTATGCCTAATGATGCAGTTTGGCAGGAAAATTTAAGTGCTTATTTTTGCTTATTTTTGCAAACCGTCCTAGGAATAACAACATAATCCATGTCCCCAGTTTGCCGATTTTAACTAAAGATATCTTTAAATGTGGCAAATCTCGAGTTTTAAGTTTAGTAGCGAATTCAGAAAAAGAGATAATGATTAGCGGGGTCGATTCTGTCTGTGTGTAAATTTTCAGACAATTCTGATTACGGGTTTATACGGGCTCCCCTGGTAGAGTCCTTCGAAGCCAGAAAACATAGATTGTGCGCCCACGTGCTCCAAGCCCACTCGCTAGCCACCGCTTCAGGCGCTTCTGTTATGTATTGCGGTGTTATTTATCGGACATCGGAGCTCAATTATGGTGAGCGACCTGACGTCAGCTCATCCCTGGACGCGAGATGTGCGTTTCGTGGGTCGTCACGTCGTACGAGCCAGTGATAGCCGCGCCTAGAAATTTGGTTTTTTGTCGATTGCCAAGATACGCTCTAGTGTCGCTGTTATAAGATACAAGTTTTTATAATTATAACCATAAGGTTTAGAAAATGACAGAATGCCGACTTACAGTAAGTGGAGTCTCCTAATGCCGATTTTGACTATTATATTTGATCGAGAGGAAAATAAACACCAGTATGCTTTTTTTTGCGCATTTTGCCCAGGTTTTTCGTAAAACATTCTAAGGTGTTGTGTCGGCGTTATGTAAAATCAGCATTATGTACCGAGACGGCTGCTCACATGTCAAAGCGTCGAACACGTGCTATTTTCATTAGTAAAACAAGGTTTTTGTAAAAATTTCGGTCGCGCTTTTTGCTAAGTAACAGTTAGCATGCGTCGGCTAGGAAGAGCACTAAAAGGACCGAATCCATCATTTTCCTTTTTTGGGATTGGTGTTGGAGAGAAGGTGCAAATTAAGGACTCTTATTGGATAAGACGGGGACAGGGTTCTGAGTTTGAGCCTCAAACCGCTGGAGAGAATATTGCTGAGCAATTCCAAATCGTAATCGGCGCGAAAATACGGTTAAATAAATAGTTGCATATGTCGTGCGTGCTTCCAGCGCCTGCGTTATCAAAACTCACAAAACTCCACTCGCTTACCTGGTTCCAAAACGGCCACCATGTGGGCGCACGGCGTTGGTCGAAGCACAAGTGCGTGATTCGGGGAAATCTTTGCTCAGTTGACGATGAGCTTGTTCGTACAACTGCGTGACGGTGGCGTTGGCGCCTTGCGCAGTGTAAGCCGGGTTACTAAAACGCAAAGCGTATTCCAAAGTAGCGAACATCTACAGGGTGTCCAAAAAAAAAATGCTTTTACTCTTCGATGCCAAGTTTAGCGGACCACGTGTGCCGTTAAAGCTTCCACTTCCGCCTCTGGGAGACGCCCTCAAGAAGCTACAAATCAATCAGAAAGTTCTACAAAAATAGGTTATATGTAGTTATCGGGTCGTAAAGAACCACAAGTAAAAATTTGGTTTCCCGCTAAAATCACTCCCCCCACCACCCGCTAACAGTTCCGGAACCGCGCCGTTCTCACAACGTCGAATTCGTCACAAAGGGAATATTTTCAGTGCATTAACGAATTTTTTTCGCGTTCATGTCGGAGCTGGAGCGTAGATTAGCACCGGCCGTACGCACCCAAAGCCTAGTGCCACCTGTTTGAGAGTGCCTTTTAGGTTAGCATGCTATAAAAATGAAATATTCTCTAGAATGGAACTCTACAAAATTGGGAGCTGATTGCTTCATAAATGTAGATCGGACCTCAAGTTCTTGACATGTTCATCAAAATCCTGCTGGTTGATCGGGCGCCAGGTGCGTTCCGGATTCCGGATGACGAAAGAGGCCATATCAGCAAAGACCGCGTAACTGGTGTTCGTATTGTGGCCGGAGGTCCCGTTCTGTCGGGCGGCTATGTAAGTACGCACGGTTCTGAAACTTTCGCTTTGTTTGGATAAGTGTTGGGGTTTTGTGCTGCGAAGCCCGGGTAAGGCATGGATCTGGAACTAGCAGGCGCCTGTGACAGGCCGGTGGCATGAAACGGCATGAATGTACACTTCAATCAAAAGCTCTACACGGCTCGTGTTGACTAAATACGAAAACGATTACCCGTAAGGTCCCTTGTCATCAAAGATTTTCTGCAGCTCCTGGACCCACTCGCGCGGCGTATACTTGGACGCATCTTGGTCGCGAAGTGCATCTAGGTAGCCCTGCTCCACATCCCCAATTTTTCCTGAAATGGGTTCTTTTAGCGGTTCGGAAGGCTCCCCACCAATTGCTTCTTCACATATACGGCCATTTTTTTTCACGGGCTGCTCCAGCTTCTCCATCAGTTTTTTCATCTCACGCTCAATTGTCGCCTTGTCGGGATGTTGATGCGGAAGCACATTGTCGCCGCATTTAGCTAAACTTTACATCCGGAATGGCTTGTTTTCATTGAAACCTGTAAATCGCAGGTTTCAATGGCCCATAAGCGCCCCCCCCGCCGCCCCCCACGAAATCGGTCGAAGGCCGAACAGTTCAGATGGGGGTTTTTTTCCGAGTTTTTAGAACGTTTGTCGGCCATTTTAAAAAAGTGTCGATCGGGAGTGGAGAGTGTGAATCCTATGCGAGGTTTAGCGTTTTAGGATTGCTTATATACAATGCTTTTAGGGAAATACAATCAACCCAACGCTTCGAACATACAATCGCTGTCGCCGAAGAACGTACGACGTCATACCAGACGTTAAGTGCTCGTTGGGATAGCTGTTTTTCTTGCAGGAACAGTTGCGTCATGCATCTAAATGTTTGATATTCAGCTCGAACAATTGCCGTTGCTCACGTATTTGGCCCTTCAAGTGTTGAAACCTTTGCATGTACTTCCGCCAGGTTTTGCGCCCCTACAACAACACAAATCTTCGTTTGCATTTCAAGCTAGTGCACAAAAGTGGCAACTACCTATATACTCCAAAATACATTTACCTTTGATCCCATCCGAGTTCATTAGCGTCTTGACGCCGAGGTTCGTCAGCACTTTATCGGCATGATCACTGTTGGTCCTGTAGAATGCGGAAGTCACTTCTTAAAACCGAACTCGCTCCGTGAAATTGAGCAAGACCTCTTAGCTGCTGTCTGCTGGCCTCATCATTGATTTGAAAGCCACGAAGGGTCGCCTGCAGCTTTTTCTCGAATCCCATTGGGTCCTGGCCGCAGTCGTCGTAGATCGAGTTTCGGTAGTCCTTGGAAAAAGTTTGAAGTAGATTAAGATTTTGTGGTTAGTACTTCAGGGTATGAAATTCCTGGCCAATGGCTAGTGCAGGCAATTGGCAGCGATAATAGTGAAAGCATACCTGGACGATTTTTGCAAGCCCAGAGCTACAAAGGCTGACGAACTCTTTCAAGAAGTATGGCCGTTCTTCGCGGTTTTTGGGGTCGTTGATGTAGAGCATCTTTTCATTTATGTTGACCAACTGTTCTTGGATATTCTGAAATCTGGATCTGGCTCTGAAATTTGGTCTCGATCTGAGAAATACTTCCAAGTTGAAGCTTGCTCTTCAACGTTTCGAACTCAGACTGACCCGTGTCCATTCGATACGAGCCTTCGTGTCTGGAAAGAGCAACTTCAAATTACTGATGTCGTCTTCTATACGTTGCATTTCCGCCCTTGCCGTCTTTACCAGCGCATCAGCCGTCACACGTTCTGCGCTATGCTCCTGAAAGACAAATGGACTGAGAATTTGCTATTTGCACGCACACGAAATCTTTAATAATTAAAAGATACCTTCGGTGTATCCTTGAAGAGAGGCAGCACTTCCTCCGCCACCGGGCAGAGGCTTTTACGGAGAACTTAAGCATTTTTTCGCCAAACGTTTCGAAGGTATGCGGTGGATCGGAAAAGTCTTTGGCTTCGACACCACTATAGTTGGCAAATGCAGTGCGGAAAGCACGTTTCTTCTCAGCAAGTTTTTGAAGAGCAGGACTGCGCATCGACAGTAGGTCAAGGTAATGACGGGCTTCTTCCACCGTGGAAGCGTGTAGGCCTAAAATTAAGTACTAGCACAATGTAAGGTAAGGTTTTATTAGATGGTATCCCTCTTGTTATCGGATACTATGGGTATCGGTACCGGGATATATCAGCTCCCGACAGCTACGGATACCCTTACCGATACTTTTGGTTTTTTTAAACTTTTAATTTTAGCCTTTCAAAAACAGCTTTTGTCGCCATGGCAGACGACATCAGACAACAGATGCAGCAAAGCTTGTCATGTCCCATAGGGCTTTCCGAGGCATTTTTGGGAAAACGGGAAATGCTAATTTTAGTTTTACGGATAATATTTCTCGACCCTATTATGTTCAGTATTTTTATTTAAATGTGTTTTGTTCAATTTTGACCATAATAACACATCGATTATTGAAGTTTTACGTCCCCCCCCTTAATACGCGTTTAATGGATATACCTTTCGTCTTTGCCTCGATCCCTCGGCTTGACCAAGCACGGCATACGGTAGCAATAGAAACCAAATCGCTCTTGCCGCAAGCATGTCCTGGAATCTGGAAGATGTACGGTGCCAAAAGTCTTGAAAAAAAAGTCTGCCAGTACTCGAATGTTCTCCTTCATGCGATTCGCCCTTATGAACACGCTTGAGAAATAATGTAAGCAATAAAATCCGCGGACCAGGGCCCAGCTTTATTCAAAATAGCCGCGGAAAGGGCAATATCGTTAGAATTGCCGATTAGTGGCGTGGCGATGCCCTACTGTATCCAAGCCTACCGTCATCGTGCTCAGAAACTTCGACACCGGAAGATATGTAGCCCTAGTTATGCCAAAACGGACACCTCCCTTCTACAATTTTTGCGTGTATGGCTGCGTATCTGTGTGTGAGCTGCCACTTTCGAGGTTCGATTCGAAGGCAGGTAGAACTAGCCGTCCGGACTGTTAAAAGCTTCACTCGTGTCAATAACCACAGATGGCGCCGCAATCGTCAGGGCCGCAAATGTCGAGCCGCAAGTGTCGGGCCGCAAGTGTCGGGCCGCAAATGGTCGCGCCGCTACTATTGCGGCATACCCTCCTCTTTCCGATAGCGTTTTCAGAACCCTCGATAAGAAACGAGGTGACAAGCTTTAAACCGATTTTATTCCTTTTTGGGGTCGAGGTCGAATTTGCATTAAATGAAAAATGGCGCACGCTTGGTGGTGGGAGGCGGAGGGAGGGGTGTCTGAATGGGCCAAGTCTTCGAGCTATGGAAAAGTCAAATTCCTCTGAAAAGACCGCATCCCAGCGCTCAGGGTGCGAGTGAGACCAGATTACCACAGAAGCGACCCGAAAGAAGCACAAACAGGCTGCGACAACACCCCCCCTTCAACAGCACGGTATATAAACCGGGTTCGAGCCGGTCGGCCAAGATTTTCTAACTGCCAAAATCACGATTTATTGCTCGTAAGCCCCCCGCAATGATGCTAGGGATAGAATGTGATGCGATTCTTGGAGCTCTCATTTTCCGGGTCATCGTTTGTAAGGGAAGGTCAGGTTGCCTCCGAATCCCCATGGTAAGCCTCGAGCTTGGTTGTTCGCCCTGAAAAAAATTTCTTGCGGTCCGCGCCAGAAATTGGGGACGATGACGGTGCAGTTGCAGAGCAATAACGTCACACCTGGGAACGTGGCATCTTTCTCTCGCTCTCTCTCTCTCTCTCTTTCTCTCTCCTCCCCCCTCTCTCTCTTTCCCTCGTTCTCTCTCTCTTTCTCTCACCCTTTCTTTGTTAGCCTATTTTTCGCATCTTTTCTTCAACTATATAAGAAAACTGACCGGGCTCGAGGATGATGGCGGACTCGTTCAAAGCGATCCCGGTCGCGACAAAGCTTGCACAAATTCGTTGCGCATGTACATGCCCAGTTCATTGGCGCAGTGCAGGAGCGGAAATGCCCCGCAACCACTAAATACAGCGGATGGGCCCTGATAAAGCTTTAGCTGCCTTCGCGCCCCAGGTGAGTGCCAAGGTTGGCCAAAAATGTCACTGCTCGCGTGGGGGAGATCCGACCGATCAAAATTTGGCTAGTTTTGGTCATTTTTGGCTCCATAGATTACATTTCAGCCTAATAAACCATAAAAATGGCTTGAGATTTTATACGAGCATGCTGTTGCCTTGGTATTTTTTACATCCAATTTCCATGAGACGAAACGTAAAAAAAACTTTTCAAAATCATTTGGATTATGACCAATTTTGAATCGGTCTTATGAACGAACTAATTTTTTGAAGCACAAGTTTTACGAGACTTTTTGTAGTGCTTCTTAAGCTGGGTCGAACGCTATTTTCACTCGGGTTCCACGCCGCTCCTCAAGGAAAGAAAATAAGGCCATTTTATCCCAGCTTTCGAGACCCTCTAAGACCGATGAAAATTTGATAAAACAAAGCTACTATAGCCATTCTCTAGAGCACAAAGAGTACAGTATACTTCAGCCGTGATATCAATACCGCTTTTTGAAAGGCGATTCAAATCCAAAAACGCCAGGACTTTTTAAAGCCTAATAAAAGTTTTGCGCTCCGATGATAATTTAAAGACGCCATGAAAGAAGTTCGGTCTTAAGGAAGGGCGAAGACTAGTCCCCGGGTATCGCCGAGACCTACCTCGACACACAATTCAACTGGTACCAGCGCCGTTTGATCGATTTCGCCGCGGTGACAAAGTCGGGGTTCTTTGCATTGGTTGGACGGTTTTCGTAGCGTATCGTCATGTAGTGTTCGGAATCCACCGTGTAGTGCGTGCATCTACCTTCACAGCCGAAATCCGGGTGTTTCTTCCACGCCGTGTAGATTCTCAAGATGCTGAAAGTGTTCAGCCATTTTCCCATGGCATTGACATAATTTTGGATTGACACGAAATGGCCTGTTGAGCGAATGAGGTGCCTTCCACTACTGTTTTTGGTCCAGAATAGGTCAGAAAAAAGCTTAAAGTTCCACGGCAGCCGTTCTGGACGAAACAAGACGAAGCCACTAACCCGTATGGTCCATGATTTTCCATCTTCTGGCGCACATTCATCAATTTCTGCTGCAGATTCGGTTCTTTGCGCTCTGAGGTGACGTATCTCTCCAGCAACTCGCCCTCGATCTCCCCAATCTTCATCTGAAAGTCGACCAATGCCTGCGAATGGCGAGTAAATTTGAACCAGCGGAAAAAGACCGCTTCGCGGGGCTTTTGAGATATGACCTTTAGCCTTCGGGGCAAGAGCATCGGTCAAGCAGCGATTTTTTGAGAGCCCTGCTGTCGAACGCCGCGACACTTAGCCCATCTTATTAAGTTTTTGTCGGGTTTTGCTTGTAAAATAGTTCAATCAAAAAGTTAGTAACTACATATAGTCTCCTTTCCGACAATGCTTATTAGGTTGGTATTGGAGTTCTTACAGATATTTGGGCGCTTACCATCCCTTCGTCCAGGTAGTTCAAAATGAACTCTAGCGCGGACTGCAGTCGATCCTGCAGCGCTCGTAGACGGTTGTCGCTGGATATTTGTGGCATGCTGATTGGGTAGCAGACGGTCGCGATTTCCACCGAAAAATTGTGAATTTTCAAAGCCATCTTGGAAGAAGACTAGTCGTTTTCTGTTAAGCGTTTTGCTTCGTCTTATCCAAAATTCGAAATTTCTCGGTTTCTCTGATCGACATGGGTCGTCCTGGTCCCTTTAAGTTAGCCTTCATTAAAGGCGTCTTCCCCTACCACCCAGTTTTTAAATGCCGAAATTCGAAATTTCTCGGCTGGAATTGACGTACCATCCCGATGATATTTGCGCTAATCATTTTCAGAAAGGCGGTTGTGTGGTTCTGCGAGAGCATCCCTTCCTGTAGAATAATTTGCGGCAAACAGCTAGAACAAAAATTGTACAAAAAGATTTCAACGTCGCCTCTTACGCGGTGGTGAGGTTGGCATCTAGCTCGCGAAGCGCCTTGAGTAGGAGAGCTGCCGCTGAATAATACTCCAATTGGAGGTTTTATCGAAAACTGGTACAGTAGGCTTGTTGTGCAGGAGGACTGTCCTTTTTGAGTCATTGGCAAAATTATTCCAGACAGGGCTTATTCGATGGAGAAAATTTGAAATATGAACCCGATCAGGCTTTCCGATTTGAAAACTGACCGCCCCCGATTTTTAGAAACCTAAAAAAGAGGCTTTGATATTAAAATCTAAATTGCGGAAAATTTAGTTTTCTACTTACATTTCCGCAAAACCGAACCCTGGTGGCTTGTTCAGAATTAAATTTTCATAAAATAAATAAAATAATAATTAAACAAAAATAAACAAATCAAGAATCCATCGAATGAACTATGTCTCTTATCCAAAGCAACTCATTGTAAGAACTTTAGGTTGGTTTCATAGTTAAACGGCCAACGGTTGATGTTTAAAGTGGTTTTTGCAATCGAGTGTTGCCTATAATACCTACCACCCTTCGTCTCGATTTTCTCCAGGTTTCGCTCATCTTCCCTTTCGATCTTCAAAAGCTCCTTCAACTTGGCGACCAGGTCCTTCGGGCTTGTTCCGCAGTTCCGCGAGTTGCGACGGTGGAAAAGCTGTAATAACCAATGCTCTTCTTGGCGTCATTCATGATCGCTGGGAAAGCCCCCTAGAAGCAATCTGCTGATCGACATGGATCGTCCTGGTCCCTTTAAGTTAGCCTTCATTAAAGGCGTCTTCCCCTACCACCCAGGTTTTAAATGCCGTTTGCCACCCCCCCCCCAGCCGACCCCCACCTACCGTATCTCGGCTTCGCGTTATCCTACCGGGTAGTTTAGTATACCAAAATTCTGGGGCAAACAAGGCGAACACTTTGGCATATTTTACACACCTGTAGACAAACGGCGAGCCGAAATACAAGAAGTTACGCGCCAGCTGAGGGGGCGGGGGTAACCTGCACTCTAACCCCCGGCTTCCTAGCAATGCCGTTTTATCGTTACATCTTCTAGCGCATCGAAACGGTGGCAAAGCTGCTCAAGCTTTTGGTACTGCGCTTTCAGCTGGGCGGCACTCTCGTTTGCCGACGGTAGCAGTAGTTCTTGGCCAATGTTGCGCAGCTCACCGTTGAACGTCTAAAACGGGTTCTCTTCGCGAGCCGGACAAACGATTACCTAACAGCATAAAAATGTACAACAACGAAGACGTCTCAAATGAATTGACAAACCTGATGATAATGTACATAGTCAAGGGAGACGGTTAAAATCCCGGCGGCCTCATTGATCATCGCGGTCAGGTTCCTTTCCTCGTCTCGCAGATAACTCGACAGCCTTTCATAGGACAATTTCTGGTCCTCTGTGAACGTCGGGCGTGTCCCCTAAAATGTGATGAAAGGAAGGCAAGGTGCCGGATCAGTCGCTGAAATTTCGCTAGAAATCGTGATATCGTAAAAATCGGACGTGTCGGCGGCCAGCTAGAGGGCGGGTGCTTTTTTCGAATAGCCTGTAGAAGCGGATGCAAACCACAGCAATATCCCGGACCACCGCCTCACCTTTTGCATCAGCTTAAAGATCGAGCCGACGAATTTGGCCACCGGGCCGACGGCGAGCGTCATATTCACGAACGAATCAGTGATCATGGCGAACGATTCGAGGGGGATTGTGCCCGTCCCCAGACGGAGGTTGGTGGTAAAGTTGGAAAATGTCAAGATTTGCTGTTCCGCTGAAATTTTTACTCGATGGTCATATGATTCAGCTTTTCCTATTCAGCTCCGACGTCATCTTTTCGTAAAAAGATAAACATAATGGTAAGACTGGTCCGGCTTCCACGCAGGCTCACACGTACACGCACATCAAAAAGGCTAATGGGCGGTAATTACGGGTTATTCTCCATTTCGTCAAGGCTATGCCCGCTATGCTACCTACTGGGCAGACATGGCAAATCGGCCGGCCGATCGGCTTTTTCGGCCGAAAAATAATGCGGCC